TCATAAAATGTATTACAAGGGATTAGTTGCATCGAGCCATTTAAATGGCACATGTTTCTAGAAACATTAGTTAATTCGTGTAGACTAGTGAAGGCTATTTGGCAGTCGCCTACTTGTCTTCGTCATTCTTCCAGGTCATCACGCACTTCTTACAAGTCCCTAGGGATTGTTTCCCCGCCTGAACACAGAGGAAGCTTGGTTCAGAAGACCGATCACTGTGATATGCTAGTTCAGTCATAACTTAATTTCACTGCCGTCCTCCTACGTGACACCCACACTGGATCCAGAACAACCTGCATTGGCTTGGAGGCTTGCCGCAAGAAGGATTTTAGGTCTTCATTCTGCTTCAAAAAGCGTTGAGAGGAAATCTTTTTTCCCTTCACAAAATCGTGTCCAGTTTTTAGTTTTATCCGAAGATGTTATAGGTCACAGAAAAACTGAGGTTAATACTGGCCACCATCTCCTCGTGTTAAACTAACGTTTCGAAATTATTATATTAGCGTAAAGTTCGTAGTCTACGCATTCTCAGACGCGAATCGAATTCCCCATGGGACAGCAACATCAAAAATGATTTTAAAATAACTAACAATATTTATCAGTGATATCGCCTCCTTCAAATTTGGGGTCTGCTATGGTTCGGAATCACCTCTCCAAATTGTGTTAAAGGAGTTAACTTCAACATACGACCGCGAAATTTTGTGTAAGTAAGTTTATCTTAATAAAACCCCGAATTTGGAAACTAAAAATTTGGATTATTAGCAAGAAGGTGGGCTATCATACGGTTTTTTATTTCCCTCAGAACTTCCATGTAGCTGCTGGGATAGTAGCTTAAAATGAGTTTTAATTACATCCTTTCCAATTCACCATTCAGTACCAAATTCGACGGCATATAGCCAACGTCAGTTCAGAAACTGTTGAACGAGCTGAGAAACCAAATCTCACACACGAAGAGACTTCGTCAGGAACTGAAATCAGTCCGGATTCGTTTCTGTGATAATCGAATCGCGAGCTGTGTTTAAATGCTTCTTGAGCTCCCTATAGCTTACAGGAAAGTGTCTCAGCATGGGCCCTGTTCTGTTTC